TGTAGAAAAAGGCTTTGGTCTCCTAGGCCTTCCCCAAGTTCCAAAGAACAGACTCAAGCAGTTACTAATTAGAGAAGTGGGGGAATGCAGAAACAAAGGAAAAGCAGTTAGGCAAGAAAAGTATGATAGCTTGAAAAATAGTTCAGCAATGAAAGAGTCCTAGTTCCTCCTGAAGGGATATGTATAATAATCTGATACATATCTTTGAGTTGTTCTGTAGAACCTAAGACCCTCACCCAGGTAGAGAATGGGGACTACACACTCACCACGGGCAGTAGACGCCAGACTGATCGGAATCAGAAGGCTGATAATTAAGATCTGCAAAACATCACCCTGTTACCTCACCACCAGCCCATCAAAGAATGTCCATGAGCTGATCAGGTACCCTAAAACCCTCACCCCTAAGGTCGACATTAAAAACCCTTCCCTGAAAGTCATCAGGGAGTTTGGGTCTTTTGAGCATGTTCTCCTTGCTTGGCATCCTGCAATAAATACTGAAATTTCTTTCACCTCAACCAGGTGTCAGTAGATTGGCTTTGCTGCATTTGGGCAAGTGGACCCGAGTTTGGTTTGGAAGCAATATTTGTATTATTTCTATCTTTATGTATGTTTGAAACTTTTCACTTAATAAAAAGCTAAAAAGTGAAACCTAAACAAAGAAACACCAACTGAGGTGTTGCCTGGTCCCCTCCTCTCTCGGTCGATGACTGGGTGCAGGCAAGAGCTGTAGCAGCTGCCTTGTTTTCTAAGTGGAAGGCACAGGTTGAAGTCTGTAGAGTCATGACAGCTCTGGACCACCTACCTGCCCAGGGAGAAATGATTATTATAATTAAGCCATTGGTGGAAATTTTTAATTTTAAGTGTTATAAATTTGCAGGATGTGTCAAGAAGATATACACTCTGAATCTCAGAAGTCCCACTCTCCCTGCCCATACCTTCTAGACTAAATCTTAGACCTTATCAGATATGCAAAAATAGAGGCCCATGGAACAACTCACTGCAATATTCAGTACATTGTTAATTCCTAATAAAAGCTGCCAAAGAGTTTCTTCGATTTATCTCATTAATGATCAGATGACCTGCCTCCACATAGGTGGCTTAAAAAGTAGAAATGAGGCTTATGCTGAGGACTCAGAGGCAGTGATAAAACTTTATATAAACATCTTTTCCAGATAGTACATGTCACCAGCACTGAGGAAGGGGAAGTTATCATAAACAGAAGTATCCAGATGTATGCAAACTGTTTTTAAAAGCCATGAATAAAATATGAGTGTAAAATGTCTTGGCAGAATTCTGACTGGCATGACTTTCTAGGCATAGTTTGTATTCTGTGGCAAAAATGATAATTAAATATTTAATTTGTTTGGGAATTGTTCCCCAGACCATTATTACTGAATCACTTATTTGGTGCTATAAAAATTTTATATTTCAGGAAGTGTTTGGTGTATCTAAGACATGTGGTAATACCACCCAACTATCTAACAGGAAGCCTCATCTTTAATGTTGAGTTCGCTTCATGAGTCCTTGCGAGGAATACTATCGTGGGCAATAATTGTTCATTAATACAAACAAACAGATTGTAGGATGAGTAAGCTTCCCATTAAAAACTGAACTCCGATCAGAGAGTAAAACAGTAATTAAAACCTGAACAAAACCCTGTTCTTGGACAGAATTTTAAAGTGGATGAGTCTTACTTACACTCAGCATTTCTCACTCTCATTTCACCATCTCTCTTCCTCATATATTCCACTCCACCCCAACCCCTTCCCCAAGTGCCAGCTTCAGTGTAGGAACTCAGTGCTTCTTGGCCCAGTGCAAACACCTGTTATGGTATTTTGGTGCCAATGTAGCATCATCTGGGGCCTTTCTAAACCTCTACCTTCTTCCCCAAACCTCCCATAATCCAAAATGTGACTGCTGTAGGATTTCATCAGAAAACATATGGACACAAGTAACTGATCTTCACAAAGTAAAAATTTTCAACTTACAGTGCTAAAATCCTATGGGCATAAGTCATGGCTCATCATATGATGCTTTGTTCAGTTTTACTTTGATCTACTCACTAAATAATTCATCCTCAGCGTAACTGAGGGTAAAGAGTGGGGTGGGAGTGGGTTAGAGAGGAAAGTCAAATCGGAAATGGGAAAGGGGTAGAGTAGAGCATATTTGGACTGAAAATAAAGCAAGATTTTTCTTTTACATGGGGCTAATGTAGGAATACACACAATACTTCTAGCTGTCCCAAGATGATCATTGATTCCTTCTTTGTGGTGAGATTTCAGGCATGGAATTGGCCTTAGCCAATGTAAATTTTGGCAACATATGTTTTTAGTTCTCCTAATAAATCAAACTGTCTCACATTTATGGTGCCAAATATTTTCTCAGCTCACTTATATCAATAGTTGCTAAAAATTTTGTTCCATGACCTGGGATGATGTTAGGAGGTCCGTGATATGAAAGATCAGTGTAACACATGAGTTTTTCATGAAGTTAATTTTATTTATTCTCAAAGACTGTCTTTTATTATAATGGTATTCCCTTCCTTCTTTAATGCTGAAATAAATTCTTCCCTTTGTGAAATAGTGGTGACAGTAGATGGTAATTGTTTTAATGTGTGCTTAATGTTTTTAATTTTACACATTAAAAAGATGGCAAACCTATGTTTCTTCACTCGTTTTCCAGTAGAGGTGGACAGATTTTACTTGTATTGGAATTCAAAAGTCTGAGACCAACTGCTCCATATTCTATTCTCTGCTTCAAATATTGTTTTCTTGGAGGTGACTGATTCAGACTAGATCTAGGAGAGAAAAGCATAGAATGTCAAAGATGCTTTTCAAGCTGTAAACTAACTTCTCAGTTGTTAACTACTGGGTACTAATACTTTTCTTTAAATGGAAAGGTGTTTCTGAATTGAAAAGCCCAGAGTTTCCGAATAAATTTAGAAAGCATTTTCTTGATCTACACAAAAGGGTTTTAAGGGCTTGTCTTTCTTTTGGGCTCTTCACTGTGACTTCAAAGTAATCATTTTCAGATTATTAAAGCAGTCTGCCTTGGAGTTATCAGTTTTTTCTTTATGAGGAAATCTGAGGTTAGCTAGAACCCAGTTACAGAACATCAGACTGAAGGAGGAAAAGCTGACAAAGTGAGGCAATGCTTAATCATTTCAATATGTGCAATTAACCATTTATACACTTCTTAAAAGCAGAGAGCTGGCATGGTGGTATGTGAAAGAAAAAAATGTGTAATTAAACACCCCTCAGTTTATCTTCAGTAAAATTTCACCATTGTCTAAAATTTATTGTTATTTGCAATTACCTGTTTCGGCTCCTCTTTGCCCTTCCCCCTTTTGGAATCCTTAGTTTGAAGTTCTGTTCATTTTTTAAATTATTTCAATGGAAAAAAATTATTTTATGCTTTTTAAAAAAATATGGATGTGGGTATGGACTTAAGCTCCCACATCAATCAGTACCGGAAAATTTTATAAAAAGCACTATCAGGGCTTCCCTGGTGGCGCAGTGGTTGAGAGTCCGCCTGCCGGTGCAGGGGACACGGGTTCGTGCCCCGGTCCGGGAAGATCCCACATGCCGCGGAGCGGCTGGGCCCGTGAGCCATGGCCGCTGAGCCTGTGCTCCGCAACGGGAGAGGCCACAGCAGTGAGAGGCCCTCGTACGGAGGGGCGGGGGGAAGCACGGGGCGGGGGGAAGCACTATCAAGGCACTCTAAGGATAGAATTCTAGTATAAATGTCAATACCAACCTACTGATAAAGTTTTCACAAATACTTTTTGTAGAACGGCAAACCAACTTTGTGATGGTTCATGAACAAAGAGTTCAAATATTCCTTGATCTGTCCAATTCATAAATATCTTTTTTGTTGTTGCCTGTCTCCCTGTTCCCTGCCTCCCCCCTGCCCCCTACGGCAGTTTTGGGGTTTTTTCTTTAATTCTTCCCCTCGCCTCTCTAGCCTCTAGTTTAGTTTCCTTTATTGACTATTTATTGAATGAATGAACTCCCCGCCCCTGTTCCAGCAGCCTGGTTCCCCTCGACCCCATGCCATGCGGCTTTTCCTCCTGGGACTCCGGTCGCAGCACACTCGCCGGGGGGCTGGACGTGACGTGCGCCAAGGGAGGAGCCGGCGAGGGGGCCAGAGCCGCTCCAGAGGCCGCGGTCTGAGCAGGGGTTGGCTGGGAGCCTGGAGGCGGGCGGGAGGCGGGCAACAGCTCCGCCGTGGCTCGGAGGAGAGCCACACCGGCTCAAGAACCCTCGGAGGGGAGCCGCGGCCGGCGTAGAAGGCAACTCTTCCAGCGGGCGCGGCGGTCACCTGGGAGCCCCGCGGGGACCCGACGTGCCCGAGGGGAGCTCCTGGGCGCTGGGCTGCGGCTGCGGCACGGCGCTGCGGGGCCCGGATCCCACGAGACCTGGGACACCCGGGACGGAGGCGTGGCCGCGTCACCCTGCGCTGTTTCTGGTGGATCAAGCTGGGAAGCCGGTGCGTTTCTAAGCAGTCGCCACCCCAGCTTCTCTCAGCTCGAATTCAGCCTCCAAGTTGCAGGCACTGGAAAGACTACCTCGACGAGGAGGGCATCTGCCCCTGACTGTGGTGGGGTTTGCTCAGGGGCTTAGAAGGCACCGGGGACTGACCCAACCAGCCCGGGGAGGACTGACAGGCGCCTGAGAAAGCCGCAGGGCGTGGGCCGCCGTCGGGGTTCGGAGGCGAGGGGGCTGTGCTCGTTTCGTAGATCCCGAGGCCCTGAGCTTATCTCATGGGCTGTCTGCTCATCCACCCCGTGTCCCACGCCTGATCCCCGGCACTCCTTGGGGCAACTTCTGTGCAAACTTCTGATTCTGTTTCTCAAGGTTCCCTTCTTCCCGGAAAGGTTGGGACGAGCTGCAGGTGCTAGCCTTGCACATTGCGGACCAGTTGTCTCCGAGGAGAGGTGCACCTAGAAGAGGACAATGGCAGTGCCGGGATCAGAGCTGCCTTCTGGCCCTGTGGCCCCCATGCTCTTGTCATGGCTAACAGGACTAGGGGCTGGAATGGTCTTCCTGAGCTTCATGCAGAAACTCCTGTACCCTTACTTCTGGGACGACTTCTGGTACCTGCTGAAGGTGTTACGCTGTGGATTTCAGATGGAGATGTACAGACTGAAAGGGGAGCTGGTCACTGTCCTGGATAAATTCCTGATGCATGCCAAGAAGCAGCCTCAGAAACCTTTCATCATCTATGAGGGAGACATCTACACCTATCAGGATGTGGACAAGAGGAGTAGTAGAGTGGCCCACGTCTTCCTGAACCATTCCACGCTGAAAAGGGGCGATACTGTGGCTCTGCTGATGAGCAATGAGCCCGATTTCATTCACGTGTGGTTCGGCCTCGCCAAGCTGGGCTGCGTGGTGGCCTTCCTCAACTCCAACATTCGCTATGTCTCCCTCCTGCATTGCATCCGCAGCTGTGAGCCCAGGGCCCTCGTGGTGGGTGCAGGTAGAGTATGGGGTGTGGTCGGCTTATGCAGAATGGCAACCCTGCCTCCTACCCCTGCCCCTTCATTTTTTTGTTAGAACCAATTCACAACTAATATTCTGGGTGTGTGATGAAGTGTGCATGTTAAGGGTACAAAATAGTTTCATAATTCTATGGCTAGTGGTTTAATTCCCCCTCTCCCACTTCAATCACTTACTCTTTTGTAAATTACCAATTATTAGCACAGCTTTTGAAGACTTCTGAAATCTCTGCTGCTTATTATTTTAGCGAAGGCGGGGGTGGGGGGTGGGGCGCGGGGAGGGGGAGGGGCGCGCC